ACTGCAGAGGGTTTTCCTCATGGATATGTGATTGTAATTCAGAACATACTTGAAAATATGGCAAAACTGCGTTTGTGAGTTTGAACTACATCCAACATGGAAGAAAAACTCACCTTTATGATAGGAAATAGCGTCTGGACCTGCAATGAGACATCCACCTGCAGGTTCTGGAACACCAATCACCATACTCGCTTCACCTTCGAGATTATCGTGTTTCCAAAGAGGTGAGCTGAGCTCTTTATCTTCAATATTAAGAGTAACTACCTTTATATGGCGTCCATTATCGTCCTGGTATATGTAGGCAAGTGTTGGGCGGTCTGAAAATATACTTCCAGGCGTTCTTTAGTATTCCGAACTTTATTTTTGAGGTATTATGTCGCTTTCTCAAATGACCCGCTAAAGATGTTGCATTTAATCGCCGGATTATATCAATGAAAACTTCTGTGCAAAAAAAACACCAGTGCTACAGAAATCTCTCCAGAATTCGATAATATCCGCGAAAAAATAATGATTACCAGGATCTGACATAAATGTTATATCAATGATGTATAAATCATCACATCTAACGTTGAAACCACGTAGGTCTTTTCCTTCATTCCATTGCACTACTTTCAAAAGGCCATCGTATAAACGAAATACCATCAACTACAAGAAATATGAATAATAAAGTTGTCGCTCCATTATGCGCAAGAAATCTGTCGCCTCATGCAATTAAAAGAGAATTCATTTTTGCAACTAAAAAATTCCAAACGTATCGTCAAAAACTGACGACTAAACACAACTAACAAATATCTTACCCCTGATGAATGAACAGTTGCTATCATTCCTGTTTCGGATGGTCGTCCAACTCGATCCACAATGTGTCCCGAAGCTCGTGTACGTAACTCGCTCGTTGGTGTCCAACGGATTATAGCCAAGTGGTACTTTGCTGTCAGGATCAGCAAACTATCCACATCCTACAATTTATCCAATTTTTCTATCCAACTTTCTCCAACTTTTCTATCTTTTCCAGTTGTAATCTGATAAAATGAAAAGTGGCCGCTTTCTTTGCTTGATGGACTTGAGTGGTGATATACCAATAATTCAAACTTAGCATTAATAAACAAATGCAGTAACGGATTGAATTTTATTGGAATGAACGCTTTCATTAGAGCAAGTGCAAAACAGAAATAGAAAAATGAAAACAAGTCAATAAATCTGCCCCCTTTTTATCCTTTTTAGTACTTCATTATAGAAGCAGATATGTTAGAGTACCGCTTGTGATACCAATAAGTGATCCTCCTGGACCAAGATCATACAGATAATATAGAAAATAAAAAACCATACCTCACCCGGCGCCCTAAACAGTTTTATTGTTGCGATGCGTCCGAACACTGGACATTCTCTGTGTGGTTTCAGTCCTTCAGGTGTGACCAAAAACAGTTCCACGCGATTAGTTTTCGCTAGCACTAAATTTAGTTCCGTAGGAACAATGAAACTACCAACCAAAGCATGGGTTACCACTGTTGGTTTGTAAGCTGTTACAATGTAGTTGAGGGCCATTTCGAGACTCCCTAAAATTTCAGTTG